ATAAAGGATTTATGTTTGCAGTGGTGTCACGAACAGAATTTGTTAGATTTATACGCAATGACAAATGAAGTATTGATCCATACATTACCCTACATCTGCAATCATTTCCTTTCCAAATTGATAGACAAAGAGGGGGCAAAATTGAAGACAAATTCCACACGAATGACCATCACATTGATCGCCAGCTCAACCATCGAGGTTTATCAATATTCGAAAAATTCATTTGACGTTGTACATAAGTCTAATAAATTCTGTTTGCAACGGTGTCACTAACAAAATTTGTTAGACTTTTGTTAGTGACACCATTGCAAACAGAATTTGTTAGGCTAATCTCAACTGATCAGTTTCAAATCACTCTGGAACTAGATGTATGCGACCGTGGATCTAGGTAAAACAAAGATAGTGGATCTAGGTAAAACAAAGATAGTGGAGTAGGTAAAACAAAGAGCGCAAACGGTTTGCAACACAAATTTCAAATCGGTTGCGGACGTGCACGATCGGCCTTAGACTTATGAACAATGACAAATGAATTTTTGATCCACACATTACCCTAACCCTGCAATTTTTGACACCACTTCAAACATAAATCCTTTATGTGACGCAAAGGATTTATGTGGTGTCACATAAAGGTTTTATGTTTGCAGTGGTGTCACTAATAGAATTGTTAAATTTATGTATAAGAACAAATGAATTTTTCGGATATTGTCGAATCTTTTATGTTTGCAGTGGTGTCAAAACTTCAAGAATTTATAATCGAGTCTACTAATAACAAAAAAGACACGTTTCCAAAGTTAGACCATTTTATGTAACGCGATTCCCGTCTCGAATATTAATAAAATTTGGAATCAATCATCAATCTTGGAATTAATTTTCTCGATTTCTTCAGCATTTCACGCTCGTTCGAGTTCTAACAGTTTCAATGAGACCTCCTCTACCCTTGAATAACGTTAATTGGCAGCAGACATTTTTTATCATTTACGCGAGGGAGTACCGTGCTCGTGAGATGGTCCCGTCTGGCGGTCCCCTCGTCCTCGTCCATAGTGTGAATTCAGCTTTACGGGACGATCGAATTCTTAAGCGACGCTTCCGAATAGCGTCGATAAAATATGTATTTCCGCTCCGACGCTCGAGCCAGCTACCGCGCGCAGATCTGTCATGAAAGTCAATGAAGCACTCCACGAACAAGCTACTCTCGGGTCTTCCGACCGCTGGGATTTTTTTGCCGTCCATAGCTAGTCACACACCTGGTCCCCCAACTTGACTCATCGATGGAAGAGAAGGATTTTTCGTTCCCGTGATAGAACTCCACGAATTCGATTCGGTTCCGCGCGTTAATTCTTCGAGGCCACGGTTTAATGTTTAACCCTCCTCTCCTTGGGTCAAAAGCGACGGAAATATTAATTCCATCATTTGGGTTTTTGTATTCTATTCTATGTATTCTATTCTATAACTTGAGGACTGAGTTCAGTAAGATTGAAATCAACCGAAGGTGATAAATATAAACTAATTTGGTTTTAAAAAAAGAAGGTTTTCTTTAGAGAAGGTTCTCTAAATCGAATTGTACACTTGTAATCGGTTTGTTTTTATATTTGTCTGTATGTATATTACCATTGGACAATGTCCTTTTGAACAAAAGTTAAAAATAAATGTCAGCTGTCGAAATTGTTCAGATAATAAATACACTGATATTTTTTCAAATTTAATTTGTAAAATCAGATTTCTGTGGGTTAAACAAATTGTTTCGATAGACATAAGAGTACGAGTAATTATGGGACTGACTGTGTATCTGAAATGTAGGGATTGATAAATAATGTTCTTTTTAAAACAAAAATGTGTTACGTAAGACGTAGTATTTACTGTGTTTGAATATTGCAATAGGAGATGGTAACCTAAAGAACCACCCCTTTCAAGAGCCTCCAACATTTTTGAGGCACCCTATATGAAAGCCCTGACTGACTGACATATCAATGCCCAAGCTTTGACCGTTATTTCGCCGACTCGAAAAAGAGTACGAATATTTATTATATGAGAGAGTACAAATATTTATTTATGTGAAACGTGTTGATGATGGTAACAACAACAACAACGACTACAGTTATGACGATGATATCGATAGCAACGATGACATTCGCGCGTTTCGCGTACATTCCGCACATAAATACGCGTATTTTGCGTACAGGTGTATACTTGCGCATAAAATATGGAATCGCGCGAACGTCCACGGCCATCGACGAGCAACGACAGGTGTGAAAGAGGCTTAACGCCGGTCCAAGAACCGCTTCCACGTCCGCCTACGTATTTAAACGACGTCGAACGGCTGGTATTTCTGTCAATCGTGATTTTATTTACCGACACGCCGTTTATAAAGCGACACATCCTCCGTCAGTATCCTGTCGACCGGTTCGATCATAATTTCACTTCTCGCGTTCCGTTCCCACCTGTTCTCTTTACGTTAATCTGGTTACCGTGAAACAGAGACGAGCGGAAGAAGTCGAAGGCCGATGGAGATGTGTCACCTAGCGAATTAACGCCCCGCTGTCGGTGATACGTTTCTGGCTGGTCGAATGCATCCTTCGAATGCGATATTTTTTTTTTTATAGCTCATTTAACGCATTGTCACTCTGGATATAAATACGAACACGTCGATGAATCATACCGAGGCGTTTGTTAACTTCATAACGAAGCTTTTCATTCGGACAGAAAAATTGTGCATTTCAGTCTTTTCTTTTTTTAAACGGATCAATTCATTTCTGGAGAACCTTAAGCCGACGACTGACTTGCAACAACAGAACATTGTAATGTAACGCGAGCATTCGCTTAGTTTGGACGGACTAGCGAGCGACGAACCGAGCCGTTCTTGCACGCTCGGTTCGCTCTCGACCGTGCTCCACTGGTCTGTCGGTTTTTTGAAGAATCTCTTTGATCGTCTACTTTTCACTGAACTGAGTAGGAAGCATTGAGAGAGAATTCAGCCGAGAGTTCGAAGCGACCATTCGTGATTCCAAAAAGGACCTTGTAATGTAACGCTGGTGTCGAACCGTAAAATTCGTGCCAAGCAGTTACATTACAGCGTTCTGTTGCAAGTCAGTCGCCGGCTTTAGGGCTTCGATTAACCCTTTGCCTTACGATTCATTTCACACGTCGGGACATTCACGTTTCGATATGTCTTATTGATGGTTTGGCCGGTCGACTTACCACGTCTCTAACACGAGATTGTAAGCCGAAGAGTTTAACACATTAACGCTGGAGCTGCTATTGTGTTTCTCGCCATGGGGCGGCGCGGTATTTCACGGTATCTGATAGACGCGTAGGTGCGAACCACCGGTGGTACACGTCGCCCGATGAGAGAGTCAGAACGTGTTAACCCTTTGCAGTGGAGTCCTTTTTTTCTGGTATCTACCAGCAACTCGAGATGTTTCTTAGCGTTCTATTGCCATGAATTCTAAGCTATCTAGATTTGAAAATAAGGTCACCTTTACTTCACCGACAATCATTTTAGTGACACTTCGAGAAATTAAAGAAATGAAACCTAAAGAAACATGAGGTATTGTATATTTGCTGTTTGAAACCTAATGGTGACTGAGAGTCACCTCTCGAGTGCAAAAATCCCCCAAGGGGTATACCTTCCAGTGTTGGGGATGGTTTCAGTGCATTTATAGTAGAGATATTTGTGCATTCGTTGTGCATCGCGTAGACTCAAGATGCGTTTTACGGTTTAACCCTTTGCACTCGAGGATTGTTTTTCTGATATCTACCAGCAACTCGAGATATTTCTTAACATTCTATTGCCATGAATTCTAAGCTATCTAGATTTGAGAATAAGGTCACCTTTACCTCACCGATAATCATTTTATCAACGCTTCGAGCTACAAAGAAATTAAACCTAAAGAAACATTAGGTGTTGCAGATTTACTGCGTGAAACCTAATCGCGCCTCTCAAGTCACCTCTCGAGTGCAAAGGGTTAAATTACTTTAGATTTATACCGCGACTTACGATCGAAGTAACAGCGATTGTTTTCAGCAGGACACCTTGTATAATCCCCCTAGCGTCGATTTATTATTACAGATGTATCTGCATTCTCGTACGGGTCGCGCACGATCTCGGTGTAATAAACATTTCAATACAGCAAAGTGCTTAGTTCGAAAAATACTGATATCACCATTAAACAGTGTATAAATCGCCCTGGATCTCCCCGTGAAATTTATCACTTCGTTCGTATATTAGTTTGTTTGTTATCGACGTTTAAACACGGAGCGCGCGCCGTTCCTCAGTCTCGTAAATCAGCGCGGCTCAGTCCAGCTTTTGTCGTCGCGATTATCGACAAATATCGCGTAACGCCCAGGAAAACGTGTCGCGGAAACGACGTTCCTTGTTCGCGAAGGAGTCGCGTATTTTCCGCGTTTTGGAGATCCACGTCGCGTGTACCGATTCGTTATCGGATGCAATCTCGAGGTATCTTGTAATTATCAGGTGTGTTTAATTGGCGAGTAGGGGATAGCGCAGATAAATAGCTGTGGAATTATAGCGTTTACGAGCATTTGATGTGAATTAACGTTTATTCTTTACGTTTATTTGATTATTGATTTATTATCATTAGGGTACCACTAGCCCCCC